TCAGGGCCGCCCGCTCCTCCTTGGTCAGGACCAGGGACTCTGATGTGATCCGCTTAAAATCAGCCGATGGTAAAATGACGGATTCTCCTGAAGGGTCCTTGAATGGGATCCTGGAACATTTGGCATTACAAGAATGCAATAATTATGCTTTGTATACGTGCGTGCGTGCGTGCGTGCGTGCGTGCGTGTGTGTGTGTGTGTGCGTGCGTGCGTGCGTGCGTGCGTGCGTGTACCTGATGTTGCGGATGAGGTCTTTGGTCACAATTTGAACCGTCGCTCCTTCCTGGTGTTTCTGAGGTGGACTCTTTGTAGACTTGGAGGAGTTTCCACGCCTCACGTCTATCTGTGATGACATATGGAGAGAGGGTGTAAGCAACATCTCACAAAACACATTCATAACACACTACACTAAAAAACTAAAGATTAAATCTAGGTAGACCTACATTGTACTGTTATAACCAGTGTTGAAAAGTAACTAAGTACATTTACTCCATACTTTTTTGATTGTACTTTACTTTTTTTTATATTTTGATTTTATGCTACATAGTATTTATACACATTTCATAGGCTAATATTGTACGTTTTACTAATTTAACACTAATAATTCCTTTGACATATACAACTTGTGATATATGCTGATATATGATATGATGCACTGTTGCACTCACATATGCAACAACTTAAATACTGTAACCCGGATATGTGAATATACTGCAACCTGCAACTCTGAAATATATCTGTAAATATACTGCAGCTGCACTTCTGTAATGTGTGCTCTCTCTGGTTGGAGGAAAATATGTCCAATGACAATAAAATGGAATCCCATCTTAAATATCATCTGTGGAAAAGAGTCATTGCGCATACCGAGTACTTTTACTTTTGATGCTGTGAGTATAATTAGCTGATAATACTTCTACTAAAGTTACATTTTGCATTGAGGACTTTTAATTGTAAGAAGGATCCTCAGCCTATAGCAATATAATGACACCTTTAGAAATGCATAAAAACTCACCTAGCATAATTTTTTTTTCTAGAGTGGTTGCAATATTGACTACACTCACTCACCGGGTTGGGGCTCGCAAACAGGGATTCATCCACCTGAGAGGTGGGGGCCCGGGTGCGATACCGCCGGGTGTCGGTGCTGTTCCTGGAGTTTGTGGAGCTGGATCCCAGTCTCTACAGGGAGTAACCTCATCTTAATCATCATTTTATTTATTCACAAGTTTAAATAAAAATACAAGTACAATCATAAGAAATAATGGAGACATGTGGAATGGGACACCACAATAAGCTATAGCAAGTTTGAGAATAGTGGCCCAGACAATAAACATAAAGTAAATACATTTCATAGCATTGAAACTGAGACTGAGAGGGTTCATGTATTATTCAGAAACATTACCCCCCCAAAGACAGACCACAGGACCACAAAAAACCTAAAAACTAAACTACGCTAACCCAAACTAGTAAATGGTCTACAATACTTATTTCATCAGTTTAAACAAAGGTTTAAAATAGGTAAGATACAAAAACAGACACATTATAGGCTATAGGACAAGTATTATTATCTAAATTATTAGATAAAGAGATTGCATTACAGTAAATTACAGTACATTTAGCTGACGCTTTTATACAAGGCGACATACAAGTGCAAAAACCATAAATAAACACGAAGGAAAATAAAATAAAGAAGAGATTTAGCACCTAATGTAAAATAAATGGAACTTACCATGGTGTTCGGTAATTGGTGGCAACGTACAATGAGTGATCAAGTTAGCTAATTTGAAAAAAGTGAAGCTAATTGGTACAAAATTGACAATACGATGTATATGCTGCTAGATTACTCATACATTTTACAACGAGGCGACATTTGGAAATGTTTGTTGTCCGTTGCCATGAGAACAAACGGGAGAGCTAAACGTAGGCGGGACCATGTGACGTCATCGTCCTTAACAGTCAGTAGAGTCCTAAAACCCGGATATAAAAAGACACTGCAAATATTTAAACATGATGTTGAATATTCGTTTACTTTTTGTAATTTACAAGAATAAAATTGTTGCCATTTATTCTAGGAAAAAAAAAGAAACCCGGATGTAATTTAACATTTTACTACTTCCGGTTCCCTCGTCAACCGTAGTGACGTTATTTTCTTCCGAGATTTGTTGTTCTTCGACATAATATTTGGCGTTGTATTCATGTCTTACTCACATGCACTTTCCCACAACCCACAATGAATGTCTCTTTTTGTGCACACTGTTTGTATCTGATAGGTCTGCTGCTGTTAAACACGCATAACCTCACTGGGAGAGGAGCCTCCCCTTGGCCTGCTGTAACTATTGGACTCCACTATCTATCCACAATCATTAACCACTTCAATGTGAAGACTCCTACCACAACCGGCTCAGATGGAAAAACAACCAAAGAGGAAAAGAACACGTAGGTTATTGTTCAAGCGGAGGGACCCTTTTTATAAATACAGAAAACAACACATCATGCACAGCGTAGATGTCATTTCATTTAATTTCAAACCTTTATTTAATCAGATTGGTCCGATTGAGATCATAGATCTCTTTTTCAAGAGAGATCTGCAGCATATAGGTTCCACATGAAAACACATAAAACAATAAAGGACATCATACATTATATTTACAGGATACATTAACATAGTTATAGACATTTACAAGTGCCTATAGTATCAACGAGCATTTCATTTAGCCTAGCTTTAAAAACATGCAGAGGAATGAGATTGCTCAGTTTAAATTCTTGCTGAAGAATGTTCCAAGCAAGTGGAGCTGCGCACATAAAAGCTGTCTTACCTAAGACAATCCTTGCTCTTGGCACATCTAACAATACTACATCATGCGATATCAGACAATTGCTGCTTGCAACTCTCTGTGTTATCAGAGAGCAGATATAATACGGGAGTTTACCCAACAAAGCTTTATAAATAAACGTGTACCAATGACTGAGCCTCTTTACAGTAAGTGATGGCAAACCTGCCTTGGCATACAGGGTACAGTGATGTGTAAGTGCTTTACAATTTGTGACAAATCTCAGTGTGCTGTGATAGGCGGCATCTAACCTGTTCAGGCAATAGGCAGGTGCATTCATATACAACAAATCACCATAGTCCAAGCACAGGTAAAAAGGTCACAGTGACTAGCCTTTTCCTGGCCTCAAGCGAGAAACAGGACTTGTTTCTAAAAAAGAAACCTAGCCTAACCCTCAGTTTTTTAAGCAGGTTATTGACATGAAGTTTAAAAGTAAGACAATCATCAAGCCAGATACCAAGGTATTTATAACAGGTAACCACTTCAAGTACTTGTCCTTGCATAGTAACAATATCTAAAACAGGCTCTGGTGTCTTTTTAGCTTCTGA